TCTCTCTCTCTCTCTCTCTCTCTCTCTCTCTCTCTCTCTCTTCTACTGCTCTTTCCTTTAAACGGGCTTACTCCGTCTCTTGCGGTGATTCTCGGTTACGTTGTCGTCTCTCGTTTGCTTACTCGTTTCATCTCTCGTGTATAGATTGTGCGGTTGTCTCGCTTCATCGGATTTCTTCGCTATACGTCGTTTAGGTATGTTCTGTTTCGCTCTGTGAACCTCTACCTGCCATTTGATTTCTGCTTTATTTTGTGGTTTTTTTCTTTTTTCGTTTTTCCTTCTTTTTTTTTTCGTTGTTTGTTTTCATTGATTCGTTTTTTCTAATGTGAATGGTTTCTTTAGGCCAGTTCACCATTTGCTCAGTTGATCGGTTGAATTTGAGTCTAACTCTAGACGATAAGTTAGGTTAAGTTTTCTTCTTTTTTTTTTCTTTGATAAATGAAACTTTAAAACTTTAATTAAAACATAATATTCAAAAAATAAAAAGAAGAAATAAAAAACAAAGAATCTATATTATAAAAGTTAATATACAAAACTCGGATTTCATCAAACATGAAAAATATTATTTGGTCTTTCTTAAGTGGAAGAATTATAGCATATTTGAAAATATAGAAATCGTACAAGATGATTTACCTCAGGTGATGCAATATATCTTGGGATATGTTACTTACAAACTTGCATGTTTCTTATATATAACAGCTACGCATTTTGTATCTTGGCTCGCTAGAAAATTTAATCTGAAGCTTTATCAAGTCCTCTTTATTATGTGCAGTTATCAATCTTTTTTGCAATTTCTTTTTTCTTCTTTCCTCATTTCTCACGATTTACAACTCTATCCCTACTTTTATCTTCCAACTTTTCATACTCGTTTCAGTTCAGGCCAAGTCCTTGTCATCGATCTTTCCTTATTTTTACTTCGACCTATTTTACTCGCTTTCAGAATATTCATTTATCCGGCTTTTATTTCGTGATACACCCCATTTTCTTCTAATTGCATCATCTCTTGACATCTTTCTATCCTTCCAACTATTTGTTTTATTCTCCACGCATAAGTGTATATACAATTTCAATTCGGATCTTCTGTATATCTAGCTTTTATTCGAGTCATAAGTTGCAATGATATTCTTCCTAACTTTTCACACTATAAATCTCGTTTGTTGTATGCAAGTTGCTTATTCTCCCTTAATCTACTGAAGTTGCATTTGAGTTATGCCTCTTGTATTTTGCGTTTTAAAATTTAAGTTTTTTTTTTTTTAAATTTTTGGTTTATGTATTATATTTTGATTTGATCTTATTTTATAGAAAACAATTGAAAATTTAGCAACATCTTCTTCAATGAAGATAATTGTATTAATTACGTCTATATAGAATTTAATATATAGTGCTAAAAGTTTTTCATTAATATCTTAAAAACTAATAAATATCCAAAATTAAAATTTTATACTTGGAATTTATTACCTCTTCTCTCCTTCTCTTCCAAATTTCATGCAAATAGCGATCTAATATTCAAAGTATATATTTGGAAAATAAAATTTTTCTTTGTTTCTTAGATATTAAGAAACCAGTCCTTTCCTTTTTTTTCACAACTGAAAAATCAGATTATTAAAGTTTTTTTTTTATTCTCTCCGTATTTAGGTGAATTATATCGCAAGGAATTAATTTAAGTGGAAGGTGGGTAAGTGGGGTAATTTTTTATCGTGGCTAGTATTAGAACGTGGCGTTTCATTGAGTTTCGAACAAAATTGTTGGCGCAGGCGTGACAACCTTTCCACCGGAATTCATCCGGACGGATTTTACATATCGTGCTGTACGTGTGTGTATGTGCACGCTTCCACCTCGTGGATATTCTCGTTTCACGGTTGTTCAGTGCTTTAATGCGATTAAATGCACTTCCTAAATCGTTAGCCTTTCTAAATCGTATTATTATATCTCAAGTTGTTTTAACCGTGATTGATTTTCCAATTTTATATTTGTGTTGTTTTTTTATACACAAACAAATTAAATTGCAATCATTTACGAAAGATTTCAATATTCTTTAACTTTCTTTATTTTTTAAATTAATTATATTTTAAGTTAAGTTTTTTAAGAAGACTCACATTCTCTTAAAAAAAAAATTATTTAAAATAACTTTATGTGCTATTATGTGTAAAAATTTAATAGTAGATAATTTACTATAGATTTTAATGAATTTTGAATTAATGTAGGTTTTTATTTTCTCAGATAAATTAATTTTAAAGTATAACAAAATGCATTTTCAATTAAACTTAAATTAGATTTAATAATATGTATATATCCTAATAATATATATATATCCTAATAATATTTATTTAATGCTAGTAATATATAATTCTTCTTTAAAAGATTTTAATGAATTTGTTATTATAGATTTAAATGAATTACTTTCAAAGTCTCAAATGGCTATTTTGTGACTGATGGAATGTGGATAAATGGATAGCAAAGAGAGTAAGCAGGGAGAATAAGCAAAGAGACGATAGTGAAGGATTAAAAAAAAAAAGAAAGAGAGAGAAAAGAGGCCATAAGGTTAAGGCCTAACATCGAAATGTCCTGGTGAGCTGGATTTAAGGCGGACGATTTACTGTGGTTCTGTTTCAATTTGGCAATGCTCCATTGGCTTTCCTTCATTCAAATCAATCCCAATAGAGAAATAAAATGAATCTACAACCTCGATATCAAAAATTATTTGTAAACGCTTTGAAATAGTTTAATCATTACAATTATTAATAATATCAAATTTAGTATCCCTTTCATATTCCTTTTAACAACAAATTATTTATATCTAAATTTTAATGAAACTTATCATCTAAACTTATATTGAAAAATATTATATCAAGAAATATTAAAATCATTATTCTGCATTTTGAATTTATTTCTTTACAAGAAATCAAAATTTTCTTTTGGTTTTATTTATACTTTTGAAATATTTTATAGATATAGTTTCAATTTTTATCTCTAGAATTCTAAAAATGATTTGTATAAATGATTTTTCTAAAAATATCATTAATCTTTTTATTTCATATATCATAAAACAGAATAACGCGGCATTCTTTAAATAAAAACGAATAAATTAAAAGATCACCTAATCCACTCGCAACACTGTATAGAAAAGAAAAAAAGAAATTGCTTGATCAGAGGATTGTATGATCAAAAACAAAATAATAAGAGAGAGAAAAAAAAAAGAGAAAAAAATATGCCACTAGAGGATACCATCGTTGTCCACGGAAGAGAAAGCGCGAAGAGGAGAGGTCGAAAAGGTGCAGTGGGTGGAGAGCATAAAGGTGGAACAGCGTAAAGTTACGCTGCTGCGCGTAGTAGCCCGGAAGTATCAGTAGTAAAACGTAGTAGTAAGTAGTAACCGCGTGTACGCAGGCGTACGCACGTTCAGCATCGTTCGGGGTCGAAAAAAATGTGCCGCGGTGGGAGTGATTCGAGGACGAAAGGGGTTGAGAAGGAGATGCACCGACGTTCGGTGGAAGGGAGAGGTTGTGATGGTGGGAGTATGCAAGATATAGGAAGGGGAAGAAAGAAGAAATAGAATGGAAAAAGACGCAGTAAGAGTAGAGGGGAGAGTTTTAGGGGTGGTTAATTGATGAGAAAGGATGAGTAAAGTAAAAAAGAAAAAGAAAAGTTTGAGGTGTGGATACAAGAAAGAAAAGAAAAGAAAAGAAAGAATAGAATCTGAGTAAAGATAAATGGAATATATTTTGTAAAGAATATGAGAACTTGAATCATACATAATAAAATAATGGTAAAAGTCATGTAATATGTTGTATTAAATGTTTAATGCAACATATACATTGATAAAAAAATAAGAAATAATAATAAAAAGATATTAAGCAAACATTTACATAAATATTTAAAAAAGTAGTTTTAATGATTAAAATTAATTGAAAAAAAAAAGATTTGTAAGTAAAATTTTGATATTAATATAAGTAATATAAGTAATAAAAATATAAGTGATCAAAATATACAGCATTATCCTTACCCATTACTTGTTACTAAAGAAAATGACAACAATTATAATAATTATTAACAATAATCATTATAAATGATTAATTAGGAAGAATAAAATACAATATCAAATTATTCTTTAATCTTTTCTCCTAAATTAGTTCTATTCCTCTAAAGACAAGTAACTATTCAAAGAAAAGAAAAAGAAGAGATCAGAAAAATTAGGAAAAATTTAAAAACAAAGATCTAGCATAAATACATAGGTAAAGGGGTGGATCCTGCAGCATGATGCTCTCGGTCAACGCGCCTGCGTCTCACGATCCTGAAGTGGCTGGAACTGAACTAAATTCATCCACTGTGCACCCTCTGGTGTGTATCCACCATATACGTATGGGAAGAATCTCTCTC